TAATTTTGACAATCCCCCATGTCAATGTACTTAACTTAACCATTGGTGCGATTTGAGGTGTCGAATTGCAGTATAGTAGGCAGACTTCGTTCGGGCTGTCCCTATCAAACGTGAACTTAGGGATATTCATATCGTGTAGGGCCTAGGGTGACCATTTCTCATATGAGACTTCAAGCCATAAGACCTACTTCAGACACAGCATGGTTCTATAATCAAGCTCAAGGCACCTGTTCCTTTACAGCTTTACAGCCCACGAGGGTTTCCCTGACATGTTCGAGGCGAGTAATGGCAATCACCGTTTTGCTTGTCCTTTCTAGTCGCTGATGAATGAGAATTTCTGAAGATCACCTTTGATTCAACAACGGTTTCCATTGGCGCTGCTTCTAAAGTCAAACCCACTGTCAACGTGTCAATGGTTATCGTTGGTGGTAGGAAACACTGCTGATCGACTATACTACTCTTACGCTTACTCCTAGTACCGCTGCTCTTCTTATTCTTGCTGCAATTACTGCTGCCGCTGCTTACTGCCACTACCACTACTGCTTCACTTGTGAGCCCAAAGGATCCTAAGTGCCTGTAACCCAAAACATATTAATTCCCAGTATAGAAACCCTACTTTGTACCATGTAGGTACTTAGGATCCTTCTTGTGAAGTCTACAACAAGGGAGGCCTGCAAGTCAAACTATGAGGACCACTTTAAATACGATGTTCTCAGGCCTTATCGTTGTCCCGAGCCCTGAATGAACATCCATCCCGTAACCCTAAACCCTAAAATCCCCGTCCCTTACACCCCACAATTACGAATAAAGTGGACAAAAGCTGTCACCTATACAATCGCAAGCCCTAGACACCCTAGAAAGTCTAGACGCCCTAAACTCCTTTGCAAGCCGTAGGCCTCAAAAAAACCCATATCTCAAGCTTTAGCTGAAACTCTCAGACCCAGACCCAATTCTAAGTTGCTATACTAAGGAAAACCTTATCATAATCATTATATGCCAATACTATGGTAACTTTATTTCAAGTTCCTTAGCAGCAACCCGCCTGAGCCGCCCGTCCTATCCCTTGAGGTATCGCAAGGAACTTAAGGCCGACAACTTGAGCAAGGCTCGGGAGAAAAAAATGGCCCTGACGGGTTGAGGGGTTTGAGGGGTTTAAGGGTTTAGGGGTTTAGGGTTTAGGGGTTCAAGGGTTTAGGGTTTAAGGGTTTAGTGGTTTAGGGGTTTAGCCTCCACTTCAAGATCCATTCCTAATCCCATGTCATGACCAAGGTATAACATTGGGAGTGTCACCCTGGCTCCATCCATGGGGCTGCAGTATAAGAAGAACAAGACTGTGATCATTAATATTATGTATATATACGAATATTTTTCTTATGATAAGTGTTTTTATTGCCAGTGATAGTTTTGAATAGTATCATTACCATTGACGAATTGATATCAAGCTTTGTAGATGCCTGGTGCCTGTCTGGTTGTCGCATGGGCCCTGAGAGGAACTTCTCTTGCAGATGAGCCGGGACGGCTCGGGGAAAGTGCAGAAGATGGACTTCCTTTGCTATGCGCCTTGCTTGATCCGAGATGCAAGGGTTGAGGGATTTGTGTGTTGGGTGTTGGGTCTGCGGCTTCGGGCTTTGATCCTGAGAAAGTTTTCAGCAACTAGCCGAACAGCTTCCTAGTTCTCATCGCCCTCCAAATAGAAGGAAAGCGCCAACAGACCAGACTGGATGTTCTGCATTTTGGGTCCTCCAACAGTTTCGTCCTGGTTGGGGTCTGTCTGCTTTGCGCCGTAGTTTCCTTTGCCAAGCCAAAATGTCAACAATTGCCGAACCAAGAAGCTTTTTTCATAGCTCTAAAGTGTTTACGTACGGAACAAAGGAAGTATGCTCCTGTAGTGTCGTTCAGGAAAGTTGAAAAAGGTGACGGATTTAGCATGACCTTGGAGTAGACGCCTTTCTGGGAGAGCCGGGCCACTGAGCATTCAAGGGGATAGCCTGCATACTGGGTATAGAGAAGTCAAGCCTGTTAGTGACAGATAGTTAGCAGCAATGTATGAACCAGGACCCTCCTCGTACCTCAAACTAATATGGGTACATGGTAGAAACTGTAGGGGTATAATTGGCAGATGGAGGGTCTAGGAACTGACTGCGTTCGCTGGGTCTGGGACGATTGGGTTTTGAACTGACTGAGCAGGAGACCCCACAATCCCCTGGTAGTGTAATTCGTGAGTCCTCGCAAGCATGAAGCCCTACAATCTAAGGTTGGGAAGTATGCTGAGCCTTTTCTGGGGTTACCCTAGGGGCTCGAGGGGCTAAACGGCTAAACAAACATGCATGTATGTATGTATCTCTAGTTGGGGGTACAGATATATTAGGTATGTAGGGGCCCCAGGATTAAGGGACCACCATACTAGGGGCCATGGTTGTAAGCATCGAATGGAAACTCTGTCTATATAGGTTTTAAAGGGATTGTCACGAAGGTCTTACCTGGATATAATAGGGCTCTTGCATTCATCATAATGTGTTGGTACTTGTTCCAGGTTTCTACATTACACCTCAGGTTGTAGATTCACATTTGTGTGCAACAACCATACACTAAAGCCTATAGCTATTGGCAGCAACATCATATCCTGAAATCTTAGAACGGGGAGGGTGCTTTCAAATCTTTTTTTCTCACTCCGTGCATTGGGGGGATAAATAAATTGGTACCCTAAAATGGACCATAATCTTGCCAACC